ATAATATACCAAAAGCCATTGAATTGTACACTTTAAATGGGTGAATTGTATAATATGGGGAATTACGTCTCAATAAAGCTGTTAAAAGGCGGGGGCAGTGGCCCCCCTGCAGCCCCCATGCAAAGGCCCCTAAGTTTTAGGAAGGGGCTCGATGCACCGGAGACACTGGGAGGTCTGGCCTGGAGCCTAGGAAGGGTGGGCTGGGAGCACAGGAGGATCTCTCCAGCCCACGGTGGCCCCCAGCCCAGCCGGCGCCTCCCTCCCTGTGCCCAGCCCTGCCCAGCGCCTGCGGCAGCTCCTCTGCAAGCTGATTCTGTGCTGAGCGCACAGCCTCCCCTCGGAAGCCAATTTTCTGCACAGCAAAAATGTTTTCTCTGTGCCCACTTTAGCAGATGGACCCCCACCTTGGCCTGAATTGAGAAGCATAGAATCTAACGGGGGACAGACGGCTTCCTTGGCAATGTCTTGCAGGCACAGAAGCTCGCAAACTCACTCCCGCCCTCCCGCCCTCCCCCACCCTCCCCCACCTTTCCCGCCGTTTGTCTTGCTTCTACGCCCTGCGGCTGGCCAGGAACCCTCCAAAGACGGGCCCCTCCTCTGCCAGGCAGGCCACCAACTGGGCACCTGGCCCAGTTGTTTGCTTATGGGAGGTGCTCAGAAATATGTCCTCGATGAATGAATGATTGAATGAATGAATGTGTTCCTAAGGGCCTGGTCATGTCTTTTCATTTCCTCAACACCCTTCTCTGCCCCTGTGCCCTGCACCCTTCCCAATGGGAGACGCTGAAGTCCAGATCATCCTGGACTTCAGGGATGCGTGCGTGCATGTGTCGTGGCAGGAGGTCCGGCGCTCCAGACCTGCGAGGTGTGGGCCCCGCCCCCAGTACCTGTGTGCACTCTGACTTACATGGTGGCTAAGAAATTTCTAGGGAGAAAATTTGACCTAGGCCCACCACCAAGGATCAGAAATACAAACTCATGTGTGGTCAAGAGGGCCAAAGTCTGGCCTGAAGTTTTGAGGAAGGGCAATGGGGACCCCAGAGGACAGTCAACATTGTGGAAAAGTCTGCTGTGGGCATATCCCATGGCTGCCAGACTGACGGTGGGGTAGGGTGCACGTGAGGGGTGGGGCCAGGGCTGTGTTTGAGCAGGGGGCTTGGGGCTGGGGGCGGCGGGTGTCCTGTGCAGAGGGACCCCACTGGTACCCATGGACTGGGGAGGCCGGTCCTTAGGCGCCCAGGAGAACCCAGAGGGACTGCAGAGACCATCTTGTCCTACACTGTCTCTCTGTGCCAGGGGGACACCGAGGCCTGAGGAGACCACTATCCACTTCCTTGAGTGACCACGTGAGTCTCAGGAAATGCAAGTGTTCTTTTTGGAGAAACGGGGAGATGAAGTGATTTTCTGGTTTTTTAAGGATCAGACTGTTAGAAACAATTTCTACGAACAAACATCAGGAGAGGAGGGACGTTCTGTCCCCATGAGGAGGGCATCTGGGCAAGCGGGGGGGCAGAGGGACTTACTTGTGCTTTGCACAAGGGTGTATGAAAACCTGAAGGGTCAAGGATGACAGAGCAGCAAAGGGCAGGGGAAGAGCAGGTCTGGGCAGAGAATCGAGAGCTCTGATTGGGACCGGGTCCTTAGTGCGGTGGCAGTTGGCCAGCGGCTCACCTCTGCAGATGAACTCTGAACCCGACGGCTAGTGCAGGCACCGAACGCCGGCTCTGCCGCTCAGGGGCTCAGCTGCTCACGCGGTCTCTGCCAGCTCCTCTTCTGCTAAATTGGTCATCAGGTGGCCGCTGGGATGAAGTGAGAGAGTCTATTAGCACGTTAAGCACAGAGCGATGCCTAGTGCAAGTGTTACATGGCCCCCGAGGGTGGCAGCATCGCCAGGCCCTCCAGAGGTGGAGCTTGGAGAACTCCAGGGGGCCTGGGGCACCAGCTGAGCCCGACGGTGGGCCCAAGCCCAGGTGGGCACCAGGGGCTGGCCCTGGGGAATCGACTTCTTGTGCGGAGACCAAGGGGCTGTTCTGTAGGTGTTGAGGTGGCAGTGCGGCTGACTCCACCCCACAGAGGGCCCCGTGCTGCCTGCGCCAAGCACTTTGAGCACCAGGCAGGAAGCAGGGAGCCTTCCAGCACCTTCCAACAGGTTTCTGGTTCCTGGGAAGAGGCCTACCCTGAGCTCAGAACCGCCAGGCTTCCAAAGAGTTCTAGAACCTCTGTCACTTCCCCACAGCCACCGTGTTCTCCTCTTCTGTGTGTTTTCTGGTTCCAGTGAGCAGGGAAGTCCTCAGAGCCCAAGGAGCTTGTGTGCTCCTCGGAGATCCACAGAGAGGGGGCTTCTGGGCACGCGCCCACACCCCGGGTGCCTGTAGGGAGCGGGCACAGTAGATAGAGCAAGCCGGGACTCCTTCGCCAGCACAGCTCCCACCCTTGGGGCCCATGGCTGAGCACAATGCCATACACAAGCCCCAGCTTCCCAGAGCAGCAAAGCCCCGGGTGGGGACAGAGGGGAGAGCTGATATGGAGGAGAATGCAGATTTGCATCACAGTGTAAGACCAAATGCAGTACTTCAAAGGGATCTTGTACTTGCAGTGGGCGACTTCAAACCTCCTCCCCAGACCTTCCAGGGGTTGGTCTCTCCTCCTCTGCTGCCCCTTGGGGGCATTTGGGGTGTGTGGGGGGGAGTTGGACAAGCCCTCGAGTGGGTCTGCTGGGTGGTGCAGGAGAAACATGAAGGCTGAGCCCCTGGGTCCAGGGTGGCGGTGGGAGGCAGGGGGAAGTAGCTCTCAGAATGCCAGGAGCTGAGCACTGGCCTCTGAGGCCTTCCGAGATGCCTGACGCTGACCGGATCCCTGGGGGTCATCGGAGTCCAGGGCTGCAGCTGGGATGTCCCACGGCCCAACCTCAGGCAGAGCCCATCCCCAACCCACGCAATGTCTCCCAGCTCCTCTTGGGTTTTTGGTGCCTCGGGAAGGAATGGTCCATGGGACGGCCTGTGGGGGTGTGAGGGGCAGCGTCCAAAGCTGAGGACACGGTTGGTTAGCCAGGCCAAGTGAGAGCACAGCGCTGGGAGTCAGGAATCCTGGGTTCCGATACAGGCCCTAGGCCCTGGCAGAGACAAGCTGTGTGACTTTGAAGAAGCCACACAGCCTCTCTGGGCCTTGAGGCCCTCATCTGAGAAGTGGAGGATTTGGACTAGATGACCCTCAAGGTTCTCCCAGCCTGGACGTCCTACAGGTCTCGGACATAGCATCTCTGCCTCCTCAAGGACAGAGCTAGAAAAAGCCACAGTCAGACAGGCAGCCCCTTGCACAGTGTGGTTTGATGGCTAAGGGGCAGAGGTGGTGAAGACTCAGGGGACATGGTGGCTGTCTTCGTGTGCGTAGACAGATGAGTGGAAGCAGCAGCTCAATATATGGAATTGAGCATAATATAAAAGGTAAGAATGTGAAAGAAAACTCCCTGATATACCTGTCTGAAAGTGGGACAGACTGTCTCGATGGAGTAGTGAGTTCCCCATCACCAGAAGTGTGCAAGCTGAAAACAGTTTCGTGCATCCAATGGGCTGTTGGATTCTATGACTTCCAAGATACTCTCCAGCTTTGAAATCCTGAGCCTGTGTCCCTCTGCCCAGACTCCCACATGAGCCAGCTCAGCTGCATGACCTGGCAGCTTCCTTCTGAGCTGCTGTTCTCAGCTCCACGGCCCCCTGAAGGCATTCATTGATGTGCCAGGATCAGGTGTGAGAAGTGTGGAAAGCAATTTGTTTTCAATGATAGTTAAAATACCCAAGTTTTTGAATGAACTCTTCCGTAGAAATTAGAAATGCAGGAGTGATGTCATTACAGGTATAACTATATACTTTTTGAGTGGGAGGCAAAGAGGTGGCGTGTTGGCTGGAGCTGCTGGAATTGGGCACAGCCCTGGGCCCAGCCATGACCACGCAGCTCGTAGGACATTGCCCACTAAAGGCAACTGTGGAGAGAACAGGTCAAGGGCCTCCAACCAGGTAGGGGCTTCTCTCTCCCCACTGAGGCTTCTCCTGCAGAGGAAACAGGGAGAATTGCCTGCCTTGCTTTGGGGCCTCACCGCCTCCCTCTGTACCACCCCAGGCAATGGGTGGCTCACTGACACCCCAGCTCCTGAGTCCTGGACAGGGAGCACCATTGCATCGTGCAGGAGGTCTGTGGTCAAGGCCAAGAGTGCAGACACACTGCAGTGGCAGCAGAAGCCAGAGGGACTGGTCCCTTTTGCTAACCCATTGTGTGTGCATGTGAGTGTGTGTGTGTGTTGGGGGAGGGGAGATCAATCAACCAGGTGGGCTATTTTGGCTCCTGGTCATTTCATCCCTTGGAAGGGAGCAGCTCACAAGCTCTATGTCCATCCAGTCTAGCTTGGTCCGCGAGGGACCTGGGGAGTAAGTTCTTTCCAGCACCCAGGCTTCCCATGCCACCTATTTCCCTGGTTAGTTGAATCAGGGGATGCTCTCATACTTGGGTGCAGGGAAGGGGCCTGGGGCCCAGAGGAGGGGAGGTAACCAGGCTTTGCCAAGGACTGGTCAGCGGGGATGTGGCAAAGGAGAATAGAGCAGGAATTTTGGGAAGAACAAGCCCAGGCTGCCTGGAATTTGTGCCCAGCTATGCTGTGGGGCAGTTTACTCACCCAGGAGGGAGCGGGGCTGTAGACGAGGTGAGGAACGGGGAGCTACTCTGCACCCCAAGCTCGGCAGAGCCTTGCTGAGTTGGGAAATCACTTTGCCTCTCTTTGCCTCTGTGTCAGCTGCATCATGTGAATTGGAAAGGTCCCCGCCCCTGATGTCCCAATGTCACTCCCAGTGTCACCGGAGGGCTGCGGGATGGTTGAGGCACAGTGCAATGCAAATGCAAGGCACGCATCTCCCTGCAGGTGAGGGTCCCCTGGGAGGTCCCCCGGGATGGGCCAGCAGGTGGAGATGGCAGGTGCAAGCTTGAGAAAAGAAGAGACATTGGAAGGAGACTAGTCTTTCTTCACTCTTTACTGTGTAAAAATAAACTCAACAATTCATGTTGTTTCAGCAAGAAAATGAAAATTAAAAAAAAAGAAAGCAAGAATACCAGTAGAAATAGTGCATTTCCAGAATTGCTGATGGGAGGTGGCAGGTCCCATGGTTTTGACCCATTTGATACCCAAAAGGCTGCAGATCATATGAAAAATGTACAGCTTTGGTTAGCAAATAATGAAAAAGTAAGATACGTCGATTTTCTTTCATATTATACAGTATATACATTATAACAATATCAACCATAGGGGGGTTGGTTTGTGGTTGTTGTGTTTTTCTCTTTTCTTTTCTTTTGGCAAATAAGACAAAATTGGGACTTGAAGTATTGGGCTTTGTTTCTCCTCAATGACTTGTTCCCCTTCAGCAAATTGCACTTCAGTCCCCTGTGCAGGGAAGCAATACATTTCCTGTCATTCGTTGAATAAATTTATACATTGTGTTTTAAGAGATGAAACCATGGCTGCTTCAAGCCACATTTTGGTTGCCATAAGATTACAAAGGATTCTATTCTCTTAATGTTAATAATACGTAACCCTAGTTTCTTCTACCAGAGTTGGAACTGATAATCAAGTCCTCAACGCGTTCCACTTAACAAGTCAGCTCCGAGACAAAAGGTCCACCGCCAATGACCAAGCTTACATCCTGGTCCCCAATACGCCTTTGAGAACAGGTGGCCCCTCTTTGGAGCTCATTGGAATGACTGGGAACCTCATGCCAGCCTCTCCCCTCCCCTTCACTGCCCACAAGACACCCCCTTGGTCTCAGGTCCCAGGGCTGGTGACAAAGTGATCTTTGCAGTCTTAGAAAACAAACTGGGAATCTACAAAAGGAAAAGAAAGCATACAAAATGTGTCTCTTTCTTCCAAAATACAAGCTTTGAGTCCTATGTTTTGGTGGAGCCTGAAAGTATTTTCAAGGGAGATATAGGTTGAGTTAATTTATAGGTTTGTCCTTTTCTTTCATAAAAATACTCTTGTTTGGTAATAAACTTTTTCTTCTACAGTAAGAGAAATAATACTGTGTTATCAAAAGCAAGAAGGCTTACAATTCAAGTGGGATCTAAGCCCCCGAGGGCCCGGAGAGCCTGTCGGCAGCTCTCCCACCTCAAGACGCCCAGGGAGCTGTGGGACACCAGCTCGGCAAAGCAAACACTGTCGAGACAGCGCTTTTTTATCTTCTTGTTTTATAAAATGGCTTACCTGAGATAGGCATGTATTATTCAGTGCAAGAGGGAACATCAATCAGATTAAGGAGAAGATGGAAACTATGTGGATTCGATTTGTGGCTGTGTCATCTACCTTTCTCGGGGCCAGCAAAGTGCCAAGTGTTAACACAGTGAGGGAGTCGAGGGGCTTGGCACAGGCTCCAGTTAGGGGCAGAGGGGGGAGCTAAATGTCAGCTTCTGCCCCTGGCACATGGGTGCATCAGGGGAGGGAGTGAGGAAGGTGAATGGGTCGGGAGGCGGAAGGGACACAGGCATAAGCATCTGGGATATGCTCTGCCCATCTCTAGTCAGGGCAGAGGATGGCTTGTGGTCCTGAACGGACAGCTCCCACCGCGCCCGCGCTGGGCAGAAGGTGGTCTGGGGTCCGGTAGGTCGGCAGGGGCTGGTGGGAGGTGCTGACAGGAGAGCACCTAGCACGCTGTGGGCCTTGCCTACGCAACAGCTCCAAGATGGCTGAAGTGAGGGGTGGGGCCGATCTGGTGTGGAGGGGTGACTCCAAGCTCTCGCTCTCTCCCAATCATGGGTGTTGTTTAGGCTTGTTCTCAACCTACACGTTAAAAATACTTCTTGGTGTGTTTAGGGAGTGGGGAGGGGGAGAGGGAAATTGATCTCTCTCTCTTGACCTCCTCCGACACTTGTTTTCCCAGCCATTTTCAGTGGCTACATAGTCACAGAACAATGAGTGGCACTTGGCACACAACACAGAACCAGAGAAGTCCATGCAGGCAGGGGAACACACATCGAACTGAGGGAGCAAGGGACACGCCACCCCAAGGAACATGCAAACAGAGAAGATTCCTGCAGATCCAAAGATGCCACAACCCGACGGGCTCTGACAAAGCACAATGGTCTCAGAAAAAGCCACTGTTGAACCACAACACACAGCGCGGCGCCTGGACCACACCCTCTGAACGAGAGGGAGGCATTGCAGAACGGCGACTGGGTACCGTGCAGACACCCACATGGACACCGACACAGACACCAACACAGACACACACAGATGCACTAGGTTTCCAATACAACATGGACCTGCGTTTAAGGAGACAGGTGCCCCTGGAAGGAACAGAAGATGGAAGCACCTGCTTCTCCTGAAGAAATGTCTGCAGCTGTAGATGAGTCAGGCAGTGCAGTGGAATTTCTAGAAAGACTCGTCAGCCTTTTGCTAATTAGACTCCTGGTGACAAAGCCCAGGGTGCCCTCAGGGCTTTCGACCCCCAGATGGTGCGACAAAGAGGGAGATCCCCCTCCTCTGGGTATGATCCGTCTCAGCACGCCTCCTCTCTCTCACTCAGCACACATGCACACACACAGATACACACACGTACACACACACACACACACACTTTTCTCCCCGCCTCAGAAGGACTAGAAGGGAATGTACATGGTTACTTTACATGAAGAAAAAAAACGTCAAAGCTTCAGGACACTGGTCAGGTCTCAGTGTCACCAGCTGGTGACAGGCTGGGGCTGCTGCAGGACAGGAGCCCTGTCAGATGGGGGAGTGGCTTTCAGGCCCAGCCTGGCCATGCCCAGCTCCACATGAGGGGTCTCCAAAGGCCCTGGCCCCTGGGAGGACTTGCTGAGCCAACTCACCTGGCCCAGGTGTGTGGGAGAATATGGCTGTCAGAATTAGCACGGACCTTCCCATCAACTGGTCAGGTGCAAGTCTCACTGGCCCTGTGTGGATAGGTCTTAATCAGAGTATGGGCTTCCTTGTCTAAAATCTCCTCTCTTGAGCCGACCCACTGAAGCCTCTGGTCTCCCACTGCCAGAGGCAAAAGGAGAGGGACCTGGGGTCTGGGCTTCCTAGGCTGTGAGTGTGATGCTCCTTTCACAGGGGCACTGGTGTGGTGGCAGGACCAGTCAGAGACTGAAAGGGAGGAGAGGTGCGAGGAGGTGGGAGGCTGAGGGGCAGAGACGAGATCCTGGGCCAGAGCCAGCCAAGCTGGGCATTCAGGCCAGCCTCTGGGGTCCAGTGCTGCCCTCAGATGCCCCTGGCTGGGCACAGGCAGGGGATGGGGGAATTGCCCTGTCCTGAGGCCAGCCCCACCTCCTCTGCCCCCTCTGAGCACATGGTGCCATCCCAGGACACTGTCTGCCTTCGACTGGTCAGAGAGAATTCACTTCTATTACAAAATAGAAATTCTCTGTGGAGAGGTTTGCCCAGCCTTGAACAAACTGCTAAAAAGCATTTATTTTATCAACACAGTCATGCGCCACATAATGACGTTTCAGTCAACGACAAACAGCATATACAACGATGGTCCCATAAGATTAGTACCATAGAGCCTAGGTGTGTCATAGGCTATACCATCTAGGTTTGTGTAAGTGCACACTATGATGTTCACACGACGACGATATTGCCTAATGGCGCATCTCAGCACATATCGCCGTCATTAAGAGACGCATGACCGTAGCAGAGACATGTCACTCTGGAAAAGGTTTGCAAACAAAGACAAATGCGTTGCTGAAGAAGTTGCACCAGCCCCAAGGCACACAGGCAGCTAACAAAGTTGGCAGATACAGATATTCGACCAGTCGTGAGATTTCCCAAAGCCACAAAGAAAGAAGGAAATGAAATACCTCATCCTAAAAGAAAAGGCCTCCCCCTGAGACACACACTCAGAGACACACACACACACACACACACACACACACACACACACACAAGTCCTCTCACCTACTTCTGCATTGTTCAAAATGTTGCAGCCGCCTGCATTAGCGGTGACGGGCCATGCCTGAGAAGCAGCATGGGGCTCCTAGTGAGAAGTGGGACCTCCTCAGGGACAGATGGGAGCCGGGCCTGCTTCTGTGCATGAGGACAAAACCAGGCTGTGTGCGTATGCGTGTGCGTGTGCACGTGTGCGAGGGCGACGGCCTTGAGTCATTCCTGGGGAAAGGGAGAGAAGAGACGACGATCATCACTGCACAAGCAGGGGGAGGTGGGCGGGGGCCGGGGGCTGACGGCCGGGAGGCTCAGCCAGGCCTGGAGCCTCAGTTGATCTGGCGACAGGCTTCGAATGTCCACTTGGTGGCTCCGCCGTAGATCTCAATGTGGGACTCAGACCAGGCGATGACGTTGCCAGAAAGGGCCTTGGTGCTGCAGGTGGCCAGGTTGTAGACCTCCCCAGGTGTCAGCTTGCGGTCCCAGATGTTGAAATGGGCGAGCTCACCCACGAATGCTTGAGTGGCATCAAATCCACCACCCAGAGTGTCCTTCAGAGAAAAGCAGAGGATGAGGGTGGAGGAGGTCATGGTGGGGGGGGGGGGCATCCCCAGGGAGCAAGTCTCTGTGTCTCCTCCATCAGGGGCTCTCATATCCACCTCTAGGAACCATTTTGTCCCTTGTCTCTGGGTCTTCACCTATGCATCAGTTCCCCCCATGAAGGACCCAGGAAAAAGGATGATGTTAGCCACCTCTGCCCTGGACATAGAGCTTCTCCTGGAGGCAGCTGGACTCTGCCTCTCCTGCAGCCGGTCCCTCGGCCAGTGAGGGAGGGGTCAGCTGGGGCCATAGACAACCATGGGAGCATGGCTTTGGGGGAGCCTCTCCCACTTTCCCCACTTCTAGTCAAGGAACTCAGATGTCACTCTCTGCCAGCAACAGCCACCCAATGGGAACAGAAGACCTGGGACTCTCCTGCCTGCATCTCCCTCCCAGGTGCCCAATGGGAAACAAACCACTTCCAGGAAGTAAATTATGCATCACTAAAGGCCGAATTGGCCTTCCCATGCCAAACAAAGTGTTGCTGTCAGGATCGAAAGCACTGAGACCAAAGACCCCTCCTGCCAGCATTTCCTGAATAGGCCCACTCAGAGCAGGGACTCCACCCAAACTGCTGCATAACTTGTTTCCCTCAGTCGCTCATCAGGGGAGACCACCTCCCTCTCCACTCCCTCCTCGCTCCCCCTCCCTCCCAATCCCCCAACTCTCCTTCCTCCTGCCTGGTCTCTGGTTCTGGAGCTCCTTCCCCCACAGCTGGCCTCCCCGCTTGCCGCCCCCATGGCCAGTACCTGCTCCTGGCCCAGCACCAGCACGCCTTGTGGCTTGATGGGATGATAGGGTGCCAGGTTCTCGCCATTGCCACCTTGGGTGCCATCCTGGTAGGCTTCCCAGACCCCATCCCGGGTGGTCCAGGTGATACAGATGTGGTGCCACTTCCCATCATTGATGACAAAGGGCAGTTTGGCCACCTGGGAAGGAGAATGATGCGCAGGACAGGATGGGTACAAGGGCACAGCTCAGGATGGATGATCACCACTAGTTAATTGCTCAGCTGCTATTCTTCCTATCGCCACATTCAAAATAAATATCAAGAGCCATTATTGAATTCTCGCAGCCCTGCCCCTCAGGACTTTATCATCTGTTGCCCCATCCATTGGTGGGTCACACAGGAAATGTGACGCTTTGTCAAGGAGGCCCTTAAGATCGATCTGAATGCACCATCTCCTCCCTCCTACTCGCCCTCCTCCCTCTTTGCTGCTCAACAAAACAGGCTCTGGGATGGAGGGAGCCATCCCTAGGGTTGCACTTCTCTGCTGCCTTCTGGCCTCGTCTCTCTCCTCCAACACCCCATCTCTCATTGCCAGATCCTCTGGGTCTACAACGGCCTGGTCTTTGCAGAGAATCTGAGAGACACCCGGGAAGATGGCACCATGCCTTTTAAAGCTCAGACCAGCCTCGGACCTGGGCTTTCACCCACCCTCTCATATTCCAGGCAGGGTGGATGGTGCAGCAGACAAAAGAACCCTCACACCCTTTTACCCCGGGCAAAATGAAACCCAGAAAGGCACAACATTTTCTGGGCAAGTCATCAAGAGCAAGGGCTTGGAACCGGATTCCCAGCCCAAGTTTTAGACATTTACTACCAACGCTGGCATAGAGACGAGGGAGTCTGAAAGCTGGCAGCTAATCCACGGCTGATGGAGGGCCAAGTGGAGAAGGGTTCCCTGGAGGGAAAAGGCTGTCCTTCCCCAAAGGGTCACTTGGATCTGGCCTCGTCCCAGGGATAGGGGTCAAGCAGGATAGATATGGACGCATGAAGAATCTCTAGGGGCACCTTTACCATCCCAGGGCCTGTGTGGTCCCCCAAATACGGAGGAGCAAAGCCAGTTCCCAGGCCAGTGGGGGAGGAGGGGTCCGGGTTTGATCTGCCGGATGGATTGGCCCCAGATGAGACCGCCTTTCTCTGTCCCCCACCCCGGGAGGCCCCTGTGTGGGAAGGATGCCCCTCCCCATTTCTCCTGGTCTTCACCCTCCACGTCCCTTAGTCCTGCCTGGCAGGTGCTCTTCCGGGGGGCCACAGCAGCATCCGAGGCCGTGTGTCCCATGCCACCGCAGACCTGCCCCAGCAGCCTACATGGACTGGGGCCCCAGGGGGGCCTCACCCAGCCATCCTGCAAGCCCAGATGGGTGGGGGCTCTACCTTGTCGTTGATGAGGATCTCCATGGGGTTGTTGCCCCACTCGATGAGGACCAGTTCGTTGGCCTGGCCGGGCACAGCATAGGAGAAGGGCGTGCCCACCCCCGGCGCAGCGCTGGACTTGAGCCACATGCACACGGTGAAGGCATACATCTCCGGCAGGCTCTTCTTCACCTTGGCGTACATGTAGTTGGTCCGTAACGGGAATGTGAGCTGGAACTTGTCTCCAGGGCGGTTGTCTTTCTGACCTGGGGAGGACAGGACACAGCCCTGACATCCGCACCTCTGTGAAGCCCTTGCCCCTGTCTGAAGCCCATTCAGCCCCCACCAAGCTCTGTCACACAGACAGAGCAGAGTCCATCTCCATTCCATAGATGCTGAGAGGGACGCTCAGCCAGGCCAAGTACCTTGTCCCAGGGCACAGAGCCAGGACAGAAAAAGCTGACCCAAGGTCCTCGCATCCCTGGTCTGGCTCCCACATGGCGCCGCCCCAGGGGAGGCTGGGATGGGAGTGGGAGGGACGCAGTGGGCTGTAAGCATCTGCACCTGGGCTCTGCCGTGGGTGGGTAGGGAACGGGTCAGTGCACATCCTGTAAATTGTCCCTTGAAGGTGTGGCCGCCCAGGAAGGCGATCTCCTCCCCACTCAGAAGGAGGCTAGCTCGCCTGAGAGCAGCCCCTTTGGGGGCCCAACCTGATTCCAGGATGCTGGCTGCTGACAGTGCTCAGAACCACTCTCTTCTCTAGGCTCTTCACCCAAGACAACCAGGCCCCTAGCGCCCGTCACACTTCCCTCGGTGCCAGGACACGCTGCAGCCCCTGGTCACTCATCTGACCCAGCCAACTAGCCCTGAGGACTCTGGCTATTTCTAGAATCCTATCCCCCCACAGGAGGGAAAGTCGTCCCTCTGAGGCTCTTCTGGAAAATCTGTCTGGAGCCCTGCAAAGAGGGCAGGACAGCAGGGAGGCAGGAAACATGCCCCAAGCCAGAGGCCCCCCAAGGTGACTGCTTTGAGGACTGTGCCACTCATTCTCAGGGCAAGCTTCCTGGGTGTTTCCTGAAAAATCAGGGTCCTGGCCCAACAGCCTCCCCATAGACGCAGCACCCGTTCATTGCCTGCCAGCAATGTCTCCAGGGAACGCTCACCTGCCCCCTCCCGACCCACACAGACACTGTGGCTGTGGCCCTGGGCATGGTGCGACTGACTCCAGGAAAACATTCCAACCCAGCAGAGGGAACGGGCACCAGGCTGGGAGCGGGGAACACACACACCCACCAGCCGGTGGCTGCACTTCCTCCATGTGCACTGGGGCCTGCCAGCCAGCCCAGCACTAAACCAGCCCCTCAGGCCAAGAATTATTTCTAGAAGGCATCCTGCTGGGCCAGTAACCTCCCCCTTCCTCTAAGCCAGGTGTCAGGAATAGAGCAGGGCTGGCCCCCTCAGCGCTCCCTCCCTCCACCTCAGGCTCTCAGTTCCCGGCTCCTGGAGCAGATCCAGCCCCTGGCCTCTCTAGGGGGTGTTTTTCATTTCCCCAATCTCCCCTCCTTCCCTCCCCCGTCCCTCCTTCCCCTGATCTGTTTTTCAGTTACATAACACGCCTTAAGATGGCACTGTTTAAATCCATCCGGCACATTTTGCGGTCGGAGAAGGGTCACGTGGCCCTGCTCTGAGCCCGGGTGCTCCCCCCCCCAGCCTTACAACCTTGTTTGGTTTCTGCGACTTCCAGGCTGAGCCACTCGAGCTCATCTGTGCACCCCACAGCACGATTGGGGCCCGCAGGAGTTGGCAACCTGGGAACCACAGGGCTCACGAGATGCTCCGGCAAGAGAAAACCACGGGCAGGGGGCTCAGGTTGGGGTGGGGAGAACCCAGAGGTCCCTAGAGGATGCCAGGGGCGCCAAGGAGCTGGGATGAAACCTGCTAGGAGCCCAAATCTACCAAGGATCAGTAGGACCCAGCCCAGGCCTGAACCCTGCTCTCTACTGGGCATGGGGACTGGCCAGAGGCAGGCTATTTCAGCCAGGGAGGGCTTGGGCCAGCCACAGCTACTGTGCAAAGTTACTGAAGATTAAACAAATCAGACATGGAAAAATCCTGTGAGTGTGAGTGTGTCTGGGGGCAGGGGCGAAGGACACCAGGTGATCCCTTCCTCCTCTTCTTCCCTTACACTGAGATGTCCAGAGCCCAGGACGGCCCAGCCCAGCCAGGAACATTGACTAGAAGCCCAGAACCTGGGGCCAGATTCGGGGGGGGGGGGGGGGCCAGAGGAGTGGAGGAGCTGCAGCCGCTCAGGGCCAGAGCTGAACTATGCAGGAAGCCAGGACCCCAGGCAGAGTCCCACTGGCGGAGAGGGTGGAGGCAGCATGCTCCCCTCCATGCCCCTTACCTTTCTCCAGCTCGCTGATCCGCTGGTGTAGGGAGGTCAGGGCGCTCTCGATCTTGACCCTCTCCTCGGTGTCGTTCTTGGGGCCCCCCTTGCCTTCCTCCAGAGTGTTCACCCGAGACAGCACCTGCCTCTCCAGGTCATCGATCTTGCTCTGCAGCAGATCCTTGAGGCTGTTGGTCTGGCTGGAGGAATTGAGCCGGCTGTACTGCTGCGGGGGTGCAAGGGCGGGGGGGGAAACCACAGCGTTACGCGCAGAGCTGGGACCGTGCCGGGAGGAGGCCCGCGGCGCGGTCCCCTCAGGGCGACTGCGGGGGCGGCCTGGCGGGGAGCTCGGGCGAGCGGCCGTCCGTGGGGCCCGCCAGGCTCGGGGCGGCCCCAGCGGGGCAGGAGTGCCGGGTCGAGGCGGGGGTGAGGGGTGTCGGGCCGGGCCAGTAATGGGGGAGGGCAGAGGGACGCGAGAGCCCGAAGGGGAAGCGCGGCGCGCGCGGACCTCAAGGTTCTCCAGGCGGGTTTTGAGCGACTGCAAAGTTTGCCCGAGTTGGCTGAGCGTCTCGGCGGCCGGCGTCCGGGACAGGTCGCCCATGGTGTTCTTGCCGGAGCCGGGCTGCTTGCGGCCGCCGCCCGTCCGGGCCTCGCCGGCGCCCGCGTCCAGCGTGCTCTGGCTCTCGCAGCGGCCCAGCTTGGTGGTCAGCTCGCGGATGGTCTCCTTCTGGCTCAGGATGGTCTCCTTCTGCTGCAGCACGGTCTCGCGGAGCTGCAGCACGTTGCTCCGGAGCTCCTCGGCGCCGCCGGCGGCCACGGACGCGGCGCACATGTCGGCGTCCACGGGTACCGAGGTGCAGATGAAGCGCGTCGGCCCGAAATCCTGGGCCCCGCTGCCCAGGAGGCAGAGGGCGAGCAGCGCACAGGTGCGCGCGGCGCGGCCGGCCGGCATGGCTGCGGGCGCTGGGACCGGGCGCTCCGGGCCCGGCTCGGCTCGGCTGGGGCTCGGCTTGGCCGGGGCTCGGCTGGGGCTCGGCTGGGGCTCGGCGGGCGGCCCGCACTCTGGGCGCCGCGCTGCTCGGCCGCGCAGTCCTCACCGCCGCGCTGTCCGGCCCCCACTGCCGCCTGCGCTGCGGAGCCCGCGCCTTTTATGCCACCGCGGGAGGGGCCTCGGCGCTGCCGACGTCAGCGGGGGAGGAATCCCGCTTTAATTGTCTGCGGCCCGGGCCCGCGGCGCGGCTGGGGGAGCATGGGCGCGCGGTGGGGCAGCCTCCTTCTGTTCCCTCCCCCCACCCCTGGCAGAGCCTCCGTCTTCCGCCTAATCCCCCCACCGGCCTGCCCCCTCCCGGGGTAGGGGGCCAGGTCGCGGCCTCAGGCTCGAGGATGGGCCACCTGCATGATGTCCCCAAATCGCCTTTGGGTCTCCGTCTGGGCGGGTGGGAGGCCACGACAGGCCCGAGAGACGGAATTCAGCTCAACTCGCTTGGCTGCACTGAACACCCTCGGGGCCCGGGCCGGGGGCGTTGGAGGCCCAGCCGGGTCTCCAAGGACCCCAATCGTCGACCCCCGCGTGCCGGGGGCACAGAGCCTCATGGCGCTGCTAAGTCAGGAGAGGGGGTCGCGGGGCCTCTCGACGTCTCTGAGATGTCCGTGCGGAGTTGAAAAGCCGCTATACACCCTAGCTCTGGGGACTTCCCCATGACCTCGTTCCTGGCTCTCCTGCGCCCCCCTACCCCACGCCAGCTCCGGGGCTTTGGGGACCCGGCAACATCCCCAGGGAATGACAGCCCCCACCCCGTGAAGGCGGGGCGAGCGGGCACTTCTCGGAGGCGACCCCAGCGGATCGAGCCTTTCCTGCCAAGAGGGCCGCCGGATTCCGGGCAGATGGCGCCGCCCGGGCTGGACGCTCCTTGAAGCCCCTGGAGAGGCGGGCCCCGCGGGCGGACCCTTCCGCGCTCCCTGAGTGCCTTCCCATCTCTGAGGCCTTAGGGCACGCCTGTGTGTGTCCGGGTGCGTGTCTGGGTGCATTCGTGGGTGTCCATGTCTGTGTGTGCGTGTGTGTGTGTCCGCGTGTGCATGTTGGGCTTTCTGTACCCCATGTGCAGCGTGGCAGATGAGGAGGCGTCCTGGACCTTGGGACGGGGGGCACGTCGCACCTGCGGAGATCCACACGATGGCCCTTTACTCTGGTCACCCCCACGCACATTCACACCTGTTTTCTGGGCAGCTGCGCCACGGGGCTCGGCTCCCCGATCCGCGTCCGGGTTCCGGCGCCCGGTTTGGGGACACCAGAGCAGAGCCAGAGCCGCTGCCCTGCCCGGGCCCGTCAGAGCCAAAGGCGCTTCGGGAGTCTCCCATTCCAAGCTCCGCTGTACGGAGGAGGAAACAGGCGCCAAGACTCCCGAGGTCCGGCTCGCGGTGACCCGGCTCGCGTGTCCTAGAGTCGCGGTGAGGGCAGCCCCGCTGACACCCCGGACCCACACCCCGAGCCCTTCATTCCGCAGCCTCCGACTGGGCGCTGCGATGGCCGGCCGGCAGCCCCCAGCCCGGAGGGACCCATAGGCAGCTCCTGGGGGCGGGGCCTGGGCTCCCACCGCGCGGGAGGGGGCGGAAGCCAGCTCTGTTGAGACCTTTTTGAGAACTCATGATCTCCCCTTTCCTCTCCGCGGCCTCCTCCCGCCCTCTGCCCGAGGGCTCCCCGCCGCCTGCTTTCGTTGGGCGGCTCAGCCTTGGACGCTCTCCGAGCCCGAGGCTGCGAGCCGGCGCTGCCCCTCCGCGTCCCGCGCGTGCTTTGGCCGCCGCTTCCCGGCGCCAGAGGGACCCCGCGGCCCGCACGCGATTGTCCTGGGCTCCGCGCGCCGCGGCCGGTGGTGTGTGTGGGGTTCCCGCTCCCGACGGCCTCGCGTGCCCACCACGGAGCACCGAGGCCCGCCCCACACCGCGGGAGGGGGCTAGCCACGAGCGTCCCACGCAGTCTTGCGCTCCGAGCGCCCCAGGCCAGAACGCGACTCCGGAGAAATCACCTGCGCGAGGGGCGCGACGGCTTCTGCCTTCAACTCCCAACCCGAGACCCAGTGGGGGTCCCCTCCCGCCCCAGGGCTGCGTCTAGTCGGAGGCGATTCCCCGCGGGGTTCTGGAGGCGAAGCTATCCGGGGCGGAGAGGGAGGGTGCGCCAAAGAGAGCGCGTGGGTGCGAGAGAGGAGACCCGCCGGGCCCCCGCAGGCTGGTGGACCGAACAGGGATCTTTGGCCCCGCCTTGCGTCCTGTGCCCCAGGAGCGGCGAGGGTCTGCCCGCGCGCAAGGCGGGGACCCGGGCTTTTACCGCCAGGGGAGGAGACCTCAGCGGCTTGGCACCACGGCTCTTGGGCACTGAGGAGCAGGCCACCCCTCCACAGAGGATGGAATCGACGGTGTCAGAAGGGGAGGAGGGGCCCTGGGGCGGCGGGATCCGACTGTGGAGCCCCGAGGGGAGCAGACGGCAGTCAAGAGGCTGGGACCCTTTGGTCCAGCAGGCGACCTCTGCGGAGCGCTCCGTCTGCCAGAAGGCGCCACACGGGACCCTCGTCCAGACAAGCGGGGTCTCTGCCCAGACAGGTGGAGGGCTAGACTCCTGCATCCTTCTGTCTTCTTTAAATCCTTTTACCTGGACTCAGGTCCCTGAGCAGGTGGACATTCAGTCCTGGTCGTGTTTGGGCTTCCTCTCCCTCCCCACTGTTGGGGAGGTATCTGGGAGTGGGCGGGCTGGGGAAAGGACTGAAGCGCTGCCCTGCCCCAAACCCTCAGGGGAGGAACCTCAAGATGCCTAGCTACCTCGCCAGAAGGTTGGGGGATGAAGAGGCGCCGTCATATATGGACACCGGTTTCTCCTGGCCTGGCCTGGGTCCCATGCCCCAGAACTGGGACGGGGTGGGGAGGAAGGGTTGAAAACACTAGCACCTGGAGGTATTCCCGCCTTATGGATGCAACAGATGTAGATAACTTCAAATGTGTAGATAATAGTAAAAAGTAATAAAAGTAGTCAGGAGGTGTTGAGTTCTGAGTATGCATTACCTTTGTTAATATAATTTATTTAATTGTAAGTTTGTATAATTGAAATTTTAATGGTGGCTGTGTTGAACAATCAGTTTGCAAATTCCTGAAAATGTAGCAAACAGCTGGTGCGAGCCAGCTGGGCACACCACTGGTGGAAAAGGATGGAGAGGCCTTGAGAGGTCAGACTCGGGGTAGGGGGGGCCCTCAGTGTAGGGAAGGCAAAGAGGATGGGTGGGGTGGGGAAGTGTGGCCCAACCACCCAGGTTGTGGCCAGCGTGGTAAAGGTGAGTGGCATAAAGGCTAAACAGGTGGGTTGGGCAGTATTTTGAGGATGTCAGTGGCGGTTGAGGGTCTTTACCCAGTGACAGTATAAGCCCACCCAGGGAATGTGCTCGAGCCCGGTGCTGTGCGCAGGACCCTCACTCATCCTGTGGTGTCTCCTGGGCCTGTCCTCTTCCAGGGCCAAGGCCACAGCTGGTCTAGAACCTTCACCTAAGCAGGAAACAGCTCCCCTTGGGGTGGGCACAGGGAGGCACTGGGAGGATCTGAGAGGACCCAAGAGGATCTGGGAAGACCTTGGAGGATCTGAGAGGATCTGGGAGGACCTGGGAGGAACTGAGAGGATCTGGGAAGATCTAGAAGGGCACTGGGAGGATCAGAAAGGATCTGGGAGGACCTGGGAGGATCTGGGACTACCCAGGAGGATCTGGGAGAAACTGAGAGGAACTGGGAGGATCTGGGAGAATTTGGGAAGAACTGGGAGGATCTGGGAGGACCTGAGAAGACACTAGACGGGGGCACAGGGCCCACCCACTGCTTGACTCTGAGCCCACCCAGAAAGCATCCACCCTGCCTTTTGAAATAGCTACCCCTGCAGGGGGAGGTCGGGAAGCAGATGGGCAAGATGGGCAAGCTGTGGGACCCCTGCCTGGGAAGAGAAGGCACAGGTCCTCCTGGATCTGGCTCTGGAACACGGTGGGCACCTCGGTCAAGGCCATGTGGCTCTGGAGGGTACACTGTGGGCCCCACGGGTGAGCGGCATCTCACCGAGCCTGGTAGGTCACTTTGCAGTGAGGTAGGTGGCTGGCGGTTCAGAATGTGGGCACACTTCCTGCCACGTCTAAGTCATGTTTGGTGTTGTTTCAGTTTTCAGCAACCCCTCAGCGCTGGTCAAGCTGTTTCTCCATCTGGGTGCTGCTTTCGTGGGGGCGACAGTCCATCAGGCTGTCCGGGTGTGATTTGTGCACTTTCCTACATGTGGTTACACACCTCACGGAAGGTGTGGGGAGGGGAGCACACACAGCTTGTCCCTGGAGCTGAGGAGATGGGCTTCTGGCCCCACCAGGTGAGAAGCAACAGGGACCTCTGGCAGCCGAGCCCTCAGAACAGAGCCAAGCCGTGCCCCCATGTGAGACGACCCTGGACCCAAGGGGGTGGGTGTGGGGAGCACTGGCAGCAGCAAGCCCCACGGGGCTGAGGCCCCCTCTGCCTGGAGTGGCTCTCCTGACAGGTCCCGCTCACCCACGCTGGTGTGACAGGGGTGGATCCCACCCGAGCTGTCCCCTCTGCCCTCTTCTCGGCCACCCCTGCAGTAATAGCCCTACCTTACAGACAAGGCATTGTCCCTTTGCAGAGCCCTCTGTCCACGCTCATTCACTTGCCTCCTTTGAGGCACAGCCTGGCTACCGTCCTCGCTCCACAGATGAGGAAACCAACCGAGGGACGCCCAGAGAAGCCCACGGTCACACATTCATCCAGTGAAGGCAGAGCTGAGGGGCAAGTTCTGGCCTTCCTGCTCCTCATTAGCTTTCCCTCTGCCCAGCACAGGAGCCCCCACCACACATGGGAGAGAGCTCTCGGATGGCCGGGACTGGGTGGCAGAGGGGAGGCCCAAGGAGGGCCGGTGGCCCGTCCTGCCTATGCCCAGTCGTGGAGGCAGACCCGGCAGACCCGTGGGCCCCAGGCTGAGGAGCGTCTCACCTGCCGCCCTTGGAGAAGCCCGCTGCAGCATGGCATTTACAAACTCGCGTCTTCTGTGCAGGTACAACTAAACGTGCAGCGGCCG